TCACCGACTCTAGACTTCGGCGAATGGATTCCTCGATGACGCCATAGATAAAAATGCCCCATCATTTATGAACAAAACCCAAACTTACAAAAAACCATATATAAAAACCTATCTAATGAAACTTAAACAACGAATATTAACTTACTTAAGGTTATTTATAAATTGATAAATCGTTTAATACAAATATAAATACTATAAATATAGAATTAGATCAAGTTTTGACATACGATATAAAAACTATTTACAGCAAAAAAAAAAATAGACACCTATTTTTACACACTAAAAACTATATTATAACCTAACTATTCCTATAAATCTTACTTCGCATATAAATAACATTTAACACATTAGATATACAATATTTTCACTTTACACTCTTACTACATTCTTTCCATTTCATTAATATTTGGTGTCATTAGAAGAATCCACTAAACCACTAAATCGAAAAAATATACGCAAACATAATGATTCCGGCCCCGCGCTTGCGCAGAGAGTATGCAACTAGTTCTTATAAAACTTCACCTAGGGTATTTGTAAACTCTTCAAGATTTTTAATTTTCTATAAATATAATTATAATGTATTATAAAGTTTGCAAAGGTTTTAGATGATCTTATAAATTAAATCAGTTTTATAAGACTTTATAAATCTGTTTAAAGTTCATTAATGATGATACATAAATTTATAAAGTTTTAAACCAGTTTATAAGCATTAATAAATCAACTTAGTAGAGTTGTCTCATACTAACTACTCTACTAAACTAGACGTAGTTGAAGTCTGTGCCTGATTATGTATGAACTGGAATCTATTATTTTGTAACATGTTTGATCAAGCAAATAAGTTACTAACTTCTCTGTGGCATATGTGCCTGATTATGTATGAACTGGAATCTATTATTTTGCGGCAAAGTAATTGAGACTATTTTTGTATAACGCTTTATAAATTAGTTTATAAATCCTTATGAATCAATTTATACACACGAGTCTGGATAGAGATGGACAATCTAGAAGTTAAGCATGAAATATCGTCTTATTCGAGCATGGTATCTTGCTATTGGTGGTTAAGATCTTGGCTCATATATAGTGATGACTGATTTATAAAAGTTTAAAAAATTATTTATAAGAAGTATAAACTTATTTATAAGATCTTATAAATTTATTTATAAAGATTTTATAAAATGAATTGGAATTATATGAGTTTATAAATGACTTATAAGTGTGTATAAAGACATAAAATGATTTATAATGATTTATAAGTTGATGATGAATTAGAAAACTCCTCTGATTTATTAACTCTTATACATATTTTATTAACTCTAGTGAATAATTTATAAACCCTTGTAACTGATTTATAAAACTTTATAGATGATTTATAAGCCTTTATAAATGATATATAGACTCTTATCAATGATATATAAATCTCTTATAATGATAAATAATTACTTATAAACTCTTTTAAATGATATATTTGTTATACCAAATTATGAACTTTTATAAACAAAATTTCTAAACCAATTTTTAAAATCTATTTATAAACTCTTATAAATGATTTAAAGACTTTCTAATTGGTTTCATGAATTTGAATTACCAGGTGGAATCCCACAGTCATGGCCAAAAGTACTTAGAGCGTTACACCTTGAAGATGATAAACAGTCTGCAATAGCATAGTCTCTCTATCTCCATAACTTGTTCCTACATTCTTTGCTCGAGCATTCCTCCTCATGCATATGCTTAAGATAGTGAATAAAAGAGATACATTTCTCTATTATTGTTACATCACAACTGATGATTACATTATATATAGTAAAGTTTGTTTTTGTGTGGATTCTAGTCCACCATAGATAATTGACAATGATTTTCTTTTAATCTGAACCAATGTTCAATCAGACGCATGAGTTCGGTTCTTGGACAAAAAAATGTATTCAAAGTGTTTGGACGCAACTTACAAGTGTATTGCTTGAACAAGCTTCTCTTCTTTCATTAACAAATCAATCAAACACAGATCTGAAAAACAAAACCATACAGGTTGATGTGTACTAACGTACATCAGCTTAAACGTTGTGGACTCATCAACAACGCCTTTTTAAATCCTTTCCTTGATCATCTCTGAACACGTTTAGTCCCAACGTTTGAACCTGAAGAAGCTTCAGAGTTACAACTCAACAAACTAGAACACACATAATGTTCAATACCAGGGAAACTAAGAACAAGACCGGTGCATCAGCCAGCAAGTCCAACATTAATGGCTACAACAAAGGAAGGGAGACATTACAAGTGGATGTAAAAACAAGGCACGTGTAATCATTAAAACTAGTCTCACCGTCATCTTTCCCTCGCAATTGTTTCAGAAGGCAAACAACCAAACTGTGTACTCCAGACAAAACAGCAAAAGTCTTGACACAAGAAAAAAATGCAAATGAATCAATTCCATGGAACAATAAGCACAATATATATGCAACAGATTAGTAAAATAAAATAATGAGATGCACCTTTGCAGACTTCCCTGCATCAGCGAACGATCCTTTAAAACCTTTCTTCTTGAACAATCCTGAACCTAAACCCCGAAAAATTATACAGTGAGATAACAATCTCATCACATTGACACTCTCTTAACGAAAACAGAGCTAACTAACTTGAGAAATGTTAAAGTAAGAAAAGAAAAGAAGAGAGTGAGGAAAGAGTTGAAACCATATCCAAAGATAGACCCCATGATGGCGCCACCAGCTGCATCTCCGGCGAAACGGACAAGACAAACGGCGGGAGCAGGGATAGTCAATACCTTCTTTGAGGAATCTTTATCCGTGGCATCGTCGTCACCGTCTGAGTTGAGGTTTGGATTTGAGTCGAGTTTGACTTCGGTGTCTACAGCATTTGAAGAACCGTTGGCTTCCAAACTCATCCACATCTTTCTTTTTCCTTGACAAAAATTGTTAATTCTCTCCTCAACTGCCTTTATTTGAGAATCATTCTCGTCAATCTCCTTCTCCTTTGCCTTCACCAGAGCAAGCAGCTCCACAAGCTCACCGTTTTATACCTCTCATCATCTCCCACTTGCTCACCCATCGCCACACCTTTAAAAATAACCGCCACAGCTTCAACCAAAACCATCGCAAGCTCCGCCTCCTCTCCTTCCTTAACCACCGGCAACAACAACTTCTTCCTGGACCCGCCTCTAAGCTTCTCAAGAACCTTAAACCCCTGGGAAACCACACTCTCGCAGTAGATCAAACGCAATCTCTGAAGCTGGAGAGTGTGGGGCTTGCAGGCTAATTGAGCGGAGAAGGACTCCAAGCAATCCAAGCAGAGTCGTACGAGCGGAAGAGGTCTTTGGCGGGTGAGGAGTCGTGGGGTTGGGGATTCCAGAGGCGTTTGGGGAAGAGGGAGATTGATTTGTTGAGGAATGGGAGGAATTGTTTGGCGAGGGATCGGAGTTTGTCTTGTTTACGGGAGGTGAGAGGGTGGAGGTAGTCGGATAAGGAGGTGAAGATATCGTCGTCGGAGGAGGATTCGATGAGTGAGAGGAGAGGGTGGTCATCGGAGGACGATAGAAAATTTAAACTGAAGAGAAGATAGAGCAAGGGTAACATTGTCTTTTTGATTATTAATGAATGTGTGTATTTATGAAAATGTTGGTAAAATTGAATAGTGGTATCAAACAAATATTAGTAGAATTTTCTCTATTTATTAACATGTGGTCAAAGGAAAAGCTAAGATTTGATTAGTGTTATTTCAAATGTTGGTGTTATGATATATATTAGAATTTACTTAATCTCCATAGAAATAAGAAACTCCTAGAAAATATCCATTGTGTTATGATATATATTATAATTTATTTAATCTCCTTAGAAATAGGAAATTCTTGGAAAATATCTATTCTTTCGAATGTGTAGGCATAAATGGATTCTTGTTATTAATGTGAGGTTATTTGAATTAAAGTATATCTAATTAATTATTTGTTTTTTACATTGCAGTTAGTTGGCATTATTTTAGGAAACTATTCAATAGGTAGAAAAAATAAACATTTTTAACATTAACATAATTAAATTTTCAGTGGCATTAGATGGTAAATAATGTCCAAGTTTTAGGGATATTTTTATAATGGTATTTCTGTTTTAATAAAATAGATATTTTTGTAAACGTCATGAATTTTAATTACAACTGCAATTCCTGTATGTGTTGTTGTCTTTTACTTCTTTATAAATTGATATTTTTTAATTAATATTATATATTTTATATGGGTCAGAATATAAACAATTGTATATTGATTATTTAAATATATTTAGGTATCTATACATTAAAATCGTTTTCGAATCGAATCTGATACTATTAGTTGTTTTTAAATTTATTTTAGTTTGGATACAAAATACCTGAACTAAACTGGATAATATGATTAATTTGGTACAAATATTTGATTTCATTTCAGATACACTGATTATTTAGATATTTTGTGTTTATATAAGTCAGAACCAAATCCATCCAAAGCTGAGAGAGAACCGAGTCGAAACCCACAAGAAAATGTATAATACCCGAACATAGTCTAATTTCAAAACCCTAAAAATTTGATTCCCCAAAGAAACAATATGTACCTGAATAAATACCTGAATATTCGTTCCTAACTGACTTAAAGCAAATAAAAAAAAAATTTGTCAACCGTTTTCAATTATTTTCACAAATATATTAATTTCATTCAACGTATCGAATTATTATGATTAATATGTAAAATAAATGTTATTGAATTATTAGGTAAAAACAATTAATTTGTAATAAATGCTAGTGAAAAATTCTAGTTAAGAAAAGTGAAAAAAGAATGTAAAATTTTAATATGTAAATTGTGTGTTTATACTTCTGTAAATTTGTAATAAATGCTAGTGAACTATTGAGAAATATAAATAAATAAAGTGGTTAGACTTAATTAAACAAAATCTGTGTGCTACAAAAAAAGGTGGACGTAACAAATGCATTTTTAGTCGTTACGTCGTCATAATTCATTAATTACGATTACCTAATGGCGGTGAGAAATTCGTCGTTAGGTGCCCATCGTAATGGACAATTGAACGTAAAAGCATCGTAAACTTTACAACTAAAACCTTTCGCCGTAAGTTTGTCATAAAGCATGTGGTCATAAATTGGACATTTGCCAGGACGTAAATTGGACGTTTCCATTGGTCATAAAATGTGGTTGCGAGGTAGTCGTAATATTTAAACGTTAAACATAATTAAACTAGTCGTAAAGTTTACGACGACTTAACATCAATTTTATACGTAAAGTAGATGTAAATATTACAACCACTTTACTTCAAATCGTTTTAATTCATTACGACTAGTTTACGTTCAATTTAATAATTTAGATATATATTCAAATTTCAAATTTATAAAATTAAATTTTATAAAACTCAATTTAAAAAAAATAAAATAAAGTCTAGTATATCCAAAATACAATTTCCAAAACATAAATAATATATTGAAATTACAAAGCCAAAAAAAAACAAATTATTAAGGTTGATATCGTCTAAGAGTTGGGAACTATGCACTTCAGTATGTTGCTCCATTTTCGCCTGCTCTTCTGGAGTGTGGTCGGAGTTAATGGTCGGATGTTTAATTTGCCACATCTATGTAAAGACTGGGTTTGTTTCTACAATAATATCGAACATCTTCGCCATGGCCCTAATGTGGTTCATGTTGGTTTGGTTTTCCGTCCAGAACTCCAAGATGACATGGTTGGCAGTCGTCAAATCTGCCAAGAGCTGATATTCATCATTCATCCTCGTAGCGTATTCAGCTCTCGGTACATCATTTACCGTACCGATCCTGGCTGTCCGTTCCTTTTTCTTTGGGACAACCTTCATTCAACTAATGAAATGAATAGAAATTAGTACATATATTAAACGAAAAGCTTAAAATGTATATAAATAATCATAAAACATGACTCTGATTTACATACATGTTTTCTGTTTGTGTTGAAATTAATGAAATCAGAACATAACCCATATTAACATAAACAATACCAAAATCAATTTATTTGTAGGATGTCAAATACAACTGTTATAATTCTAAACGAAAATAATTTTATAATGGGTTATGTGATAATTAATTTACTTTAAGAATAATGTTATCAGTTTTCAATAATTGAGACAATCAATTTATTTAACATGTAGTTAATTATATATATATATATATATATATATATATATATTATAAATTAATATACATATCTGAACTAACATAATCCAATCAATATTCTTGAAATATTCCTAAAATTAATATTTTAACTAATTCAAAAAGTAGTTTCCATATTTGTCTCTGTTGCGATCTTAAAAATTAATAGAATAGATTACAATATGCAATCGATTTGATTTATTTATAAACAAAATATTACATTATACTTACAAGAAATAAAAAGTAGATAATAAGAAAAAAACCACATTCAATACAAATAATAATAATCCAATGATAATCTAGCACTAACCACATTCAATACAAATAATAATAATCCATTCCAAATTTGATTCGGTTTCAGTGTCTCTATTTCATTTTCCAAAAAATATCTACCATATCAAAAAACTATATACGTTGTTTTTTTGGGTTTATATACCGTCAGTTTTTGGGTTATTCAATTTTATTGCAAAACCATAAATATATCTATGTTTTATAACTTTTTGTGAATTTTAAGTTATATTATTAAATATCAGCTTTACAAAAACATAAATAAATTATGTTTTTAAGTAGAATATTTTTTATATTTATTTTACTATTTAAATTAATTAGTAAACATAATGGTTTACTAACAATAGTAATTTTCTTAAAATAAAAATAAAAATTATGTTTACTTAATTTGATAAAATAGGAAAAATAACTTTTAACTTAAAACAAAATATTAAATTAATAAAATTTATTTTTAAATATGAAAATCATATCAATATAAAAAATTGTTGTATAATTTATTATTTATGTTATTTAATCTACATATAATTATACTATTGTATTTTAATTAACGGTTTATTCGGTTTGATCAGTTTATATATCAAACCATATCTATATATCAGGATTTCTTAAAAATAATATTCTTTCGCAATACCCAAATCTAAACTACTTTTTTTTGTTTGGTTTTAATTGGTTCGGATTTAGTAAACTGAACATCCCTTGGGTACTATGTACAACAAATATATAAGTTAAACACCTGAACGGGTGTGTGGATCAAAATTTAGTATTCTATTAAAACTGAAGTACAAAATAATACTTGCCAATTTTTAAGTAAATTCTTATAGATTTTTATTTCATTTTTAATTAACTCTAACTATTTCATTTATCATGTTTTCTAAATAAATCAACATCATTTCTCACATTTTTATTACAGAACTTACCTATTTTCAATTGTTTTATTATATCTTTTACAATCCTTTCCCCACTTTTTAACTATTTTATTAATTATCTTTACTATAATACTTTGACATCATTTATTTTACATATTAACAACAATGATTTTACATATATGAATGAAATACTCTTTATGTGAAAAGAATTTGAAATGGTTAAAAAGGATTTTTTTTTTAATTTGTTTACATAATCAGTTAGGTATAGACATTCAAATACCCGTATAGCTACGAGTTATTTTTTCGAGTATCAGGTTATATGGATTTTGAAATTAGGCTCATTTGGATATTATAAATTTTTCACTTGGGTTTCGAGTCAGGTCTTTCCAAGTCTGTATGGATTTGTTTTGATTAATAGAAATATATAGATATAAAAATCTGATGTATCTTAAATATGTTCAGATATTTGTAGTAAAAAATAACCATATTAACTAATTCAGTTCAGATATTTTGAATTCAAACTAATAATAAACTAAAAATAATCGATAACTAAAAATAACTGTATTATTCCACTTGATTTGGTTTCATTATAATGTTTAAAACATAATCAAAATCTTCGAAAATTAATAACGTAATTATAGATATAATATATCTAATACTAATTATGAAAATAAAATATCAATTTATAAAAAGGTATAAATTCAAATTTGCACGGTCGTGCGGACCAATCTTTAGTTTTTGTTAAATTAATAGATTGATTGATGATCACAAAACAACGGCAATGCGAACAAAAAGAAAAAAAAAATCAATTTCTAGAATCTCCTAAAAGATAAGATGAGAATAAGAAACATACATAGAAGATAAATATGTAAAACATATATATATATATATATATATATAAATATATGTGTGTGTGTGTAGCAAGCACCATATATACATATGATACACAGAAGATGATAATTGCCAAAAAAAAAAAAAAAACACAGAAGATGATTAATGCTAACAAAGCTAGCGTGGAAACCCTTACTCTTCCGCTAAGACTGATAAGTTTGAGATTATCAATCACTGAGAACAAGGGAGAACGTCGGATTGAGAGAGAAAGAAGGAATAGAACAGAGAGAGAGAAAGATATTTCTTGCAAATTGTTTGAGACGTTCCCACATACAGGTCATGTTGCTTAAGTGAAACTAGCCTTTCACCAGTGCTGGCGCAAGGGTGTCGTTTT